GAGCCACTGTTGCCCTAATATGCAGTTCCACAAAGAACTCACACTGGATACCACTGCTGGAGAAAGTGTTTTGATTAGCTGTGGACACAATTATTGCTGCCGTGGTCATGATTCCACTGTGACCACTATGACTGTGTTCCACCAGTGCTGTATACTGCCATCACCACTATCCACCACCTCAGTGTCCTCACCACCCCAGTGTCCCAACATCACCGTTCTCAGACAAGATGTTTAGCCCCATTTCTGGGCACCATCATCCTACAGTAGGTACATGGAGTCAGCTGTACTGTGCTTCCAAGTGGAGGAGTATCTGGGATATGGTCTCAACAGTCTTGACTTTGAGAGAAGCTCTGCCTCTGCAGAGACTCCGTGCAGGGAAATGTCTGATATAGGGAGGTAGTTCAGATCCTAAGCAGATAAAAAGTGTCAAATGCCCCCTCCATAGCGTCAGACAATTGCTCCTGGAATGAAATGGGCTTCAAGGTACTTTCTAGCAAAGCTCTTGGGTGGTTCTGATGGCCCATTTGTTCAGTGGCAGGTCAGAACTGAGATGTGCTTCATGGCAGTTGTGGTCATTTAATCCCTGGCACCATTGAGTTCTTGCTTTTTGTTTGTTTGTTTTTTTAATACACCATTCCTGAAGCTCTGAAAAACATTATGCTCATGTAGTAGAATTCTGCCTTGATACTGTGGAGTTGGGCCTTCCCACTGTGTGGATTGGAAACAGGAGCGGGCATTTCTCACATCTTAGTGGCATATGGTACTGCAATTTTATCATCCTTTCTTGTAAAGAGCCAGGAAACTTTCTCTGTTTAAAAATGTGTGTTTATAAACAATAGACTTACCACCGATATTCCCATCTGTTAGCTGAACGTAATTTGTGTTGGAATTCGGAGATAGGTGGAGGGCTTTGCAAGGTTTTTTTTGTATACTTTTTCCCCTAGTGAGACATTACACTAAAGAGATGGCACCAAGAGCATATGCCTAATACTCAGTTCTGTGTCTTTTTCTCCCTGTTGTTGAAAGCAATGCAGTAGGGTGCTTTAGTACATAGGAGTATTATCGAAATTCATAAGAATTTTAGATCTACTTAGAGTACTTCAAAGAGGAAAGAAGTCGAATGAATCCAATTATATAAATATGGTTGCATTGCAATGATAAAGTTGTCCTTGTAGTTTTTTTTTAAATATCTAAACTACAATGACTTGTACTATTTCTTTTCCCAAAACAGTCATAGATTTCACTTTAACCCCATCTCCAAACTGCTCCTTGGTGTAATCATAGCATGTCATCGTCAAAGCTGCTAACCCTCCACTAGTAGTCCATAATTTAAATAAATGTCATTTATTCTTTATGTTAGGATAGATATTATTCTTATTACCTTCATTAATTATCTTTGTTTGAGATGAACTGTTTTTCATAATAGATTTTTTTAAACCTTGAGATTAAAACTCAGCAGTATTTTTTCTTACCATAAAAGATTTCACAAATCTTGCCGTAGGGCCTCAAGAAAGGTTATTGAGAGGGAAAATGTAGTTTGATTAATATTTGCTTATTGTTGAATTACCTGTATTGTCCAAATGTTTTATTCTCTTAAAAATTGTTCCTCTCAACTTCTGTTTCAGGATGACTAATTGGACATACTTGGATAAAAGGATGAACAATTAGTTGAATATAGATGATTTTAAGTGTGCTTGAGAACTGGGCATATGAAGAGCACCATGCTCTTTGTCTTATACCTGATTTTTTAAAGTTTCTCTGATTATACTTTGTAAGAAAACAGGTTTTAAAATTTGTAGAACACCATTTTTCAGGATAGCACTGTTGCTTTTTTTGTTTGTTTCTTTCAGAAAAGAGGTTACTGTCCATGTAGTTCATGTTTCCTTTTCCTTTTCATGACAGACATCTTCCAGATATAGAAAGTATCCAAGCCTCATCTTACTTTTCTTTCATCCATAGATATCTATTTTACTCTTTTACTATATGTAGGCATTTATTTTTAATGTTTTGTTTTTCTTTTTTTTGAACTTCTGAGATGAAGCTTCAGGCCTGTGCCTGCTGACCAACATTCTCCCACTGAGCCATGCCTGAGCCTATATCTTCTTTTAATATGATATGGCAGACATGCTAAAAGCTGTACATATCTACACACTTAATGAGTTTGGAGATGAGTACACATCTACCAAAGCCATCACTACAACCTGTGCTGTGAACCTTTTTATTGCCTCTGAGTATTTCTTCTTGGCCTACTTTTTTGTTACTATGATTTTTTTGTGTGATAAGATATAAACCCAGACATGGTGGTCAATTCCTGTAATCCAAACTTTCCATAGTGGGTTTTGTTTCAAAGACAGCTCAGACAAAAAAAAGGTCTATGAAGACCATTCAATTAACCAGCAAAATGCCAAATTGGAGGTGTGACTCAAGTGGTAGAGCAGTTGTCTAGTGTGGTAAAGTGCTTGTCTAGCAAATATGAGGCCCTAAGTTCCATCCCTAGTACTTCCCAAGATGTTTTTAAAGTAAAATCTATCTTCTCAATATATTTTAAAAATATATAATATTATTAAAATTGTTTATCTATACGGTGGATCTCTAGGACTGTTCAAATCTTTTTTTTTCAAATCTTACATGAGTAAAACTTTTTGGTACCTTCCCATTTTTTCTCTCCCAGCTCCTGAAAGCCATCATTCTACTCTGTGCCTCTGTGGTTTAACTATTTCAGGTTTATCTTTTAAGAATTACTATAGAGTATTACCCTTCTGATTCTGGCATATTTTATACTTACTATAATATATTCCGCATTCATCCATGTTCTTGAAAATGGCATGGTTTTCTTCTTTTTAAAGACCACATCATCATAATCTTAGATTTTCATAGCTCATTTCATTTACTTATTTGTTGAACATGCAAGTGTAGGTATTTCACAGGATCCTCATTTTGATTCCTTTGGATGTATGTCCAGCAGTGAGACCATTGGGTCATATGGTAATCCAGTTTTTTTTTTTTTTTTGAGGAATGTCTATTACCATTTTCTGCAATGACTACACCAGTTACCATCCCAGCAACACCCTTGCCATCGCCTTAAAAAAAAAACTTAATATACTTCACATAGAACTCCCCTATGACCCAGCAATCCCACTTTTGGGCATTTACCCAAATGCTTACAAACAAGACCACACTAAAGCTACCACCACAACTAT